AACTCTTGTAACCCTGGGGGTGTCAATCGACCGGTTTTGGGTTGAATCCAATCAGATCCAAACTTTATCAAATCAGATTTGGATAGTCCATTATAATTATTGGATTGGGCCAATCCAAAATAAATTGGTCCACATTCTTATTGGTCTGAATTAGACCTAAACCAAATTGCCAATAATCTGATCATGAGACCAAACCCATGCCCAATTTGAAACCCATCAAAACTGAAGTTGGCATAAAATCACTTTTATGAAAGTACTTTTACCCATGTCCAATTGGTTTGGGCCAATCCAAAATAAATTGGTTCATATTCTTATTGGTTTGAATTGGACCTAAACCAAATTGCCAATAATCCAATCATGAGGCCAAACCCATGTCCAATTTGAAACTGGTCAAAACTAAAGCCAATATAAAATCACTTTTATGAAAGTACTTTTATGAAAGCACTTTTACGAAAGTACTTTTATAAAAGCACTTCTATAAAACTACTTACTTTTACAAAAGAACTTATATGAAAGTACTTTTACAAAAGCACTTATACAGAAGTACTTTTATAAAAATACTTTTACAAAAACACTTTTACGAAGTACTTTCATAAAAGTTTACAACAGTGTTTTTTTTTATCAAAGCACTTTCACAAAAGTGTTTTTTCAATGCTAAAGGGTATTTTTTTTTAATTTTCATATTTTCTTCATTTTAATATATTTTTGTAATTGTTTATATGTACTGTTTTTTATATATATTTTTTTATATTTCATTCGATTTGGATTGGATCCAATCCAATTCATTTACATTTTAATGGATTGGATTGGGTCCAATCCATTTGTAAGTGGACTCGCATTGAACTGGATCAGGTTGGACCAAATCCAGTCCAATTGACACCTCTACCTACAAATCCAATCTAATCCCATTCATTCACATTTCAAGGGGTATAGTTTGATGATGATTTTGTGATGTTGCCTCTGGTGAGATGACCCTTGAAGTGGCCATTTGGCAAGTGATGAAGGAAGATTTGGCCCGACCTCGTAACCACTCAACACGTGGCAGTGACAACAACTCGGCACGACAGTACGCCCCAGGCACGAGCTCCAAAAAGAGGAACCAGTGGTCCGAGCTCCCCAAACTCTTCCTTTGACCCCGAGCCTTACGAGGAGCGCAAATGGCAACAATCCAAACTGGCCCACCCTAGGGCAGTTCGGGCCACACCTCTATCCAAACTCAAGACTTCACCTTGCACAACACTCTAGCACTTCATCTCCAGGTCGCCGAACTAAACAACCGTACCGTACCTGACACCAAAGGTGTCCATATCCTGAGGCGACGCACCTGACTAACTTGGGATCTGACGCTTGATAGCCGCACTTCAACGGCCACCTGCCACCGCCACCTCCAGTTATAGAGACGGCTCCGACAAAGAGAGCAGTGGCGGTTCTGCCCCAGTAGAGGTGATGACACTCGAACTGGTAGAAGTGCAGGTAATGATACCCGACCTGACAGGAGCTTGGGAGTGAGTGTGCGAAGTGGCTATAAAAGGCCCCCTTGCCCCCAAGAAGAGAGGTATGTGATAACTTTGCGCCATCTGGTTTTTTATCTTGCCTTCGAGGAAATACTAACTTGAGCTTCGGAGCACTCTCACCGGGTTCCTCCCCGGAGACTCCTCACCTTCTTCCCCGTTTCAGGCACCTGTTGCTCCAGTCATAGGCAAGGTCGTTGACAGCTAGGACCGACCGGATTGCGCACCATCAGTAAATCTTTTTGGAAAGATTTTCTGGTAACTCTAGCAATTAAAAGACGCATTGAGCTTTTGCATTAAGATTTGAGCAGCCCGAAGCTAGTTTGGATACCGCATGTCTTTTTGTGCATTAGGGGTGAGCTTTATTCGGTTAAAGCCAAAAAACCATATCGAAAATTTTGGTTTCGATTTTGTAAAATTTCGGTTTTCATGTTTAGAAATTCGATTAATTGAAAAAACCGAACTAACCAAAGTTTATTGTCTATAATATATATATTATATTAAAATATATATAGTGTTGAAATTCGGTTTGAACTGAAAACCGAACCAAAATTTTCAATTTTGGTTATTTTGGTTTTTCATTTAAAACTCTAGTTTTAAAAATTTTGATTTATTTAATTCGATTTTTAACTAAATAAACTGTTTGCTCAGCCCTATCGTGCGGCTTTCCACACAACAACAAACCGAGAGAGACATGAAAAGCTCTATTTAGAGCTTCCCGAAATTCGCCCATTTTAGGCTTCTCATGTCATTAGCTTTTGGCAGCTAGATTTGTTATAAATCAAATAGAAAAAGACTATGATACAATCAGCCTAACTTGTAAACAGTCCAAAGACCATACGGAATGAGACACCAAACATGACAATTTGGATCCAATCCATTTATAAGTAGAGTCACATTTAACTGGATCGAATTGGACCAAATCGAGTCAAATGAACAACTCTACCTGCATGATAAATGAGATTGTGAGGGGCAATTATGTGGAGGGCTGATTTGATGTCATGGCGAATATCTTCCCCCAATTAAAAAATATATAAGAGATGTTTCCAACGCAAGGGTACAGTGTGACGATGATTTTGTGATGTTGCCTCAGACGAGATGACCCTTGAAGTGCATTAGTTGTTTAACATTTTAATTACTTGTATTAAATAAATGTTTCCTGTAATTATCAAGAAAAAATAAATGTTTCCTGTCAAGTTTACTTTAATCCAATATAATAATTTTTTGTGCATATAAAACGTTTTTCTTTTGGTTTTTTTTGTTATACTAGTAAAGTAACACTAACACGTTCAAAGCTACGTATGCGTCAATGCGTGTCCGACAGCACTAATGGTCGCATCGGATGTTCCGCAGCTTCCGCGCCACGCCAAAATCTTGATATAAACAAAAACAAGAAAAAAACCTACCTAGCGTGTAGTGCAACTCAGATTCAATCAACACCAAACCATACCCCTAGGCCTAGGCCTAGCTAGCTACTTAACATACCCTATAAGAGAACATCCTTCATCCTTGTGTTGTAATCGTCAGCTCTTGATCTAACGCTACACGGAGCACCACAACTGACATATGTTATTTCCTTTCCACACCGTTGGATCAATTGTTTGTGTGATTGTCAAAGCATCCTTCCCTTTCCGGGCCCGGGGCGCCCCTCTGGCCTCTGCGGCTCTGCCCCTCTCTCTCTTTACAACTCATAATTAATGCCATACAACTCATGACACTGTGGGTCTGTGACAGTGGACAACGTGTACACTACCAAGAATTTTCGCGGGAACAAAACACCTTGTGATGACGTGTCGGTATTACAAGAGATCTGTCTAAATTTTGTCACCTTTTGGTTGGTGTAAGAAGATGAATAAGTGAGATGCACTACAAATATCATGTACGATAATCCCGAAGGTGGAGGGAGTATTTCGCCTCAAGTGTGCCCACGTGCCTTCTCGTAATACATGAATATATTTTGATTGGTCATCATAAATTTTCCCTACATGTATACGTCTAAGCATCATTTAGGCTCAATCATCACATGGGACTTGAGGATCATCATCAAAGGATGGTCATCTTTTTTTGGTAAATTATAAAGACCCCCCTGTACTAAGGGGTCTGTGACAAATATCCCTCACTACTTTGCTTTGGGATAACTCTCTCGTACTATGACCGTGAGACAAAAACCACCCTTCATTAGCCTTTCATTCAAAAAAACCATTATAATATTTTTAATATCCATACTATCCTTATAATAACTATTCAGAACAGAAAAATACTATTCATCTTCCCCGATCTCACTCTCTCCCCTCTCTCTACCCTAAGCGAATGTTAAATTTCGACTATCCTTCATGGCTATCAGAACCGAGACCCTTGCATCATTCCATAAACGGTACGAGCATTCCTCCTCGCCTCGAAGATGAACTAAGAGGAGAGTGCTTATTGGCTACCATCAGCCACCATTGGTTTATAGTTTAAATTAAATTTCGACACTTAATTTGTTTAGAGAGAATGGCAGCAAGGCAAGATTACACTGGAATTGGGTCATGCTATAAAAATCCAGCCGGGAGTGTTGTTACTCAGAGGGGCCAACGCTCGCTCTATTCTTCAGAGAAATTGGGTCAGGCGTCAGCTATCAAGATTATGGAAGCTTACTACTGGAATCCAACTACCAGGACCAGGAGATGATCTTCATATTCAATGTTCAGAATGTTTGAACTACTCAATACGCTTCTCATCTTTCCCCTTCCCGTAGAATATTACCCAGTTGTGGAATAGACGAATACAATTATTTTTTTGCTTTTTAATGGGTCTGGGTTGGGGTAGACCCGGTGCCCAGCTGATAAGTTAATAAGAACCAGTCCCAACTCCCAAACCAGACCGTATAAGTTGTCTCTGCAATCTTCACTGAATTTGTAGTTTCTGATTTGGGTTCCCCTAACTCACTGTTTCTTGTAGGCTATGATGATGCTATCTTTCACTCTCTGAGGTTAGAGCGTCTTTATAGGCAGAAGTGCGGATGAGCAGAGAATCCCTGCTTATGGCGTGCGTTGGGAGAGATTTGGGAGAGAGAAAGAATGAGAGAGGACGGTGAGGGAGGGAAAAGAAAGAAGAAAGGAAAAAGAATAAGTTAAATAGGTTTGAAGAAAAAAAAGGGCAAAAACAGAAAATAGAAAATGCTTAATAAGGTATTTTGATAATTTAACGCATTCCGTCATATAACTTAACGGAACGGTTAAGGGGGATTTTGTCTCACGGTCATAATATAAATTCTTTATCGCAAAATAAAGTACAGCGAGGTATTTATTACAGACACCAGAGTACATGAGAGTCTTTGTAATTTACCTTTTCTTTATCGTCTGATCGGTATATTCAAATGGTCTTGATTGATGGGAACTTCGTGCATTGTAAAGGGACACCAAATTCAATATTTCATACGTAAGACAGTTAGGAACTTTGGGTCTTTCAAGGCATTTGCAGTATGTGCGCACGTTAGAACTTGTCTTTTAGTTTTAGCCAAGCTGGTTGGGCTTGGGGCGCCTATAAAACGCGCGTCAATCCAAGAACGTCTCCGGTGGATATGAAACATTAGACAGACATCAGAGAATCAAAGACAAGAGACTGAGTAGGTGCCAGCTCAACCTTTGGAGATGATCGTGGAGTGTGTCTTCGCAGGCATCGTCGCTTCCCTGTTAGGTTTTGTTCTCTTGTACCGTTCGCTTGGAAGGAAGGAGGAAGAGGAGATCAGAAGAGCTACCGTGGAGATCCGAAACGAATGCGTGAGGAGCTCCATAAACGGAGAATGCAGATCGGAGAGCTCACAAAATACCGATGTTATCATTGTTGGAGCCGGCGTTGTTGGTTCTGCTCTCGCGTATACGCTTGGCAAGGTGAAAACCTTATCTTTCTTCTTTTCTTCCATAATCTTTGGATTCTCTCTCTCTCTCTCTTAATGATTTCAAGCTTTTCTGTAGAATGATATCACTGTAGTTGGGGTTTCCGATAATCTAGTAATCTACGATGCCTCTTCAAGTTTTGGGGGTCTTCTTTATTCATTTGGTTCCGGATACATACGTTGAACGATTACAAAGGTTATGCTTGTAATTACCATAAAAAAAAGAAATTTCTTTTCAAATCCGAAAAGCTTGGACTTGGAAACTAGAGAGATTCCACACAGTATCTTCTGTCATGAAGAACCTTGGTCTGAGGATCTTACAGGATGTTTTGATCCATACGTCCTTTGGTTTCTTTACCTACACTTAGTCCATGGTGTTTCCTTTTCTGTTAAACGGTGAAGCCGGTTCGTGATCACACGGAATTAGGCCGGAGGAACGCCTGCCTTGTTTTCCATCCCTTGATCTGTTTGGAGATCGTCGATGCCGTACAATATATAAATGTATAAATACAATTATACTGGTATTATTAACAGAGTATATTGAGACTTTGTATATTACCTTCTTTCTATTTTATCTTTTTTTTCTTAAGGCTCAGTATGGAAGGAGTACAAATACAAATATGTTCAGTGTAAGTGCATACAAAATAGTACAAAATACAAGGTTTTGCATTCTATATATTTGTATTTGTACTCCTTCGAAACTGAGCTTAAGTTCTTTTCTTCCCCACCAAAAAGAAGGACAAGGTTCAGCTTATCGCATAGCAGCTTGCTTGTAAATTCTGGTTCCATTTAGTGGCAACCCAGAATTCTTTTTCTCAGGTATTGAGAAAAGAAAGAGAAATGGAAGGATCGGAAATAGAAAAACAGAACACGTGATGTTTTCGATTTTAACAAAGGGATGGCTTGTCCATGTCCAATTGGGGGTCGCTCATGTGATGTGAAAGAGAAATAAATGGGGAAAATTGCTTGTTCTTTTAGGCTCTGTGACACTTGCAACTTCAGTTAAAATTTAAAAGTTCGGGAGTCAAGTTCTTGTTGTCAGAAAGATGAAACTCTTTCTTTGGAAAGTACAGGATCACTCACTTCAAGACAACCATATCCCCCGGTCTTCTGTTTTCCATTATTCCTTTGTTCATCTCTCAATCTGATAGAATTGAGTGAAGATAAGATGCACTGTTTTTGGGAGAGGCTCGCTAGTAGTAACTAGCAAGGGATGTTGCATTGTCACATTATGGCATTGAGAAAAATCTTCTTCTGAAAGCAGAGATGTAGCCAAAGGTCTCTGGGACTCTAGTAATGTGTTCTAGCAACAATTACTCATGTGCACTAACCATGTGTTTATATTAAAAACAACTTAAAAATGTATCATTTAGGTATATATGATGAACTTTTGCATGTTCTTGCTTCATTTGGTGAAAACTGGCTTGTATGGACATTCAACCATTGGATTCCAACTTGAACATTATATTTTGCTCCCAATTGCAGGATGGACGCAGAGTGCATTTGATAGAGAGGGACTTGACAGAGCCTGACAGGATAGTTGGCGAACTATTACAACCAGGGGGCTACCTGAAGTTGGTTGAGTTGGGTCTTGAGGGTAGGCATGAAAAGCAGCATATTTCTTGCCATTTATTAATGTATTGGACTAACTTATAAACCATTTTATAGCCATTAGGAAACAATAGTTAGTTTATTCAAAATTTTTGTTTCTGGATGTTAATTTGTTAGAATTAAATTATTTATTTTTCTCCTTATCTTCCTTTTTAGTTAGATGTTCGTTATGAATGTATATTTGTTTAGCCCCCTTGCTTTGTAATTCTTCTTAAATTTAACGAATACATTTCACAGTTATTGATAAAAAAAATGTTCGTTATGAATAATATATTTGTCTGTGTGAATTGCAGATTGTGTGGAGGAGATTGATTCCCAACGAGTATTTGGGTATGCTCTTTTCAAGGATGGGAAGAATACTAGAATACCATATCCATTGGAAAGATTCCATTCAGATGTGTCTGGGAGGAGCTTTCATCATGGGCGCTTCATACAACGCTTACGGGAGAAAGCAGCATCTCTTCCCAAGTAAACATCTTCTCAATCATAGTATTTGGTATTTTTGGTTTGTCTTATAATTGAAACAAGTGTCTGTGCTGCCCATTTGATTTTAGTAATGAATCTGTGACATGATTCAAAGTTCCACAAGCTGTAGACTTTTAAACTTTTCTAATCCCAGTTTTGAGAATTAATTTTTTGTTAAAAAAAAACATTCATGTGCTATCTAGAACCTACATGCAACTTAGGTATGAGGAAATTGCTTCTTGTACTTCGGGAGAGCAGCAAAGGGCTGGTTCTATGTGTACTTAGAGAGAAATATACAAGTTCACTATCATTATTATTACTCAAAAGTTACTGATATAAAATGATGCATTGCTTTCCATACAGAAATTGCTATAATTAATAAGCTATCTGCAGTTTTCAATTAGCAAAGAATTGTGTACTCGGGCCTTCATATTTTGATTAAGCTTGCTTTTAAGGTAACTATTTTCAGCTAGCTTTATGTCTCTGAAGCTAATTACATAATAAAAAATGATCAACAAAACACTAGTATCATGGTACATGTTGAGTATCTAAGTCAGCATCATTTTCATAAACGTTCTCTATATTTGTATTCTTATGCATTATGTCTATTTTGTTGACTGATTAATTATTGTCTGAATTTTCTCTTCAGTGTACAATTGGAGCAGGGAACAGTTACATCCTTACTTGAAGAAAAGGGGACTGTTGAAGGCGTAGCATACAAGGCTAAGACTGGTGAAGAGCTAAATGCATTTGCACCTCTTACAATTGTATGTGATGGTTGTTTTTCCAATTTGCGCCGTTCTCTCTGTAATCCAAAGGTGAATACATCTTTTTCGATCTGCTGATAAAAAAAAAGCATCCCTTCATTCTTGTTAACTATCAATCACTTGTTTCTTTCTTTTTTGGTCAAATTATTTAACGATTTTTGTCTTATGAAATGGTATTTAACAGTTGATTAACTAAACTGTGAACCCTTTCCAAACTGACTTAATTACAGTACAGGAAGTTAAATGTGTTTTATTATCACTCTTTTCACTTGAAGACAACTTTATGATTCCTTCCCATTTTTGCAGGTGGATATCCCGTCTTGTTTTATTGGTTTGATCTTGGAGAACTGTCAACTTCCACATCCAAATCATGGGCATGTCATTTTAGCGGACCCTTCACCAATCTTGTTTTATCCCATCAGCAGTACAGAGATTCGCTGTTTGGTTGATATACCTGGGCAAAAAGTACCTTCTATTTCTAATGGTGAAATGGCCAACTATTTGAAGACTATGGTGGCCCCACAGGTATCTAAGCACATTACATGGTTTGATAAATGCATATGAACATTTTGAATTTGAACTTAGTCATGCATGCCTTCGTTAACTAGTTCTCTCTCTCTCTCTCCCCTACATTGGTATGAAGTTTTTTTTTTTTTTTTCTTGTCACTGCATTCTGCTTTTCTAGCACCTTGACTAATTTGGCAGTTGCATTTGTTTCAGATCCCCCCTGAGCTTTATAATTCCTTTATAGCAGCAGTGGACAAAGGCAACATAAGAAGTATGGCAAACAGAAGCATGCCAGCTTCTCCTTATCCTACTCCTGGAGCATTGTTATTGGGGGATGCATTTAATATGCGGCATCCTTTAACTGGTGGAGGAATGACCGTGGCATTGTCTGATATTGTTGTGCTACAGAATCTCCTTAAGCCTCTGCGTGATCTGAATGATGCATCCTCACTGTGCAAATATCTTGAGTCATTCTACACCTTACGCAAGGTAAGCTGTGTTCCTAAGTGGCTGGTGTCTGGTACATATTTGCAATAAGTAAATGAATAAAATAAAAAACTGGTATTGATTTTTTCCCTAGATTTGCAATCATGTGGCCGATGCCATATAGGATAAGGCTTAGATGATGATGATGATAATGACTTGTAATGATGTTATAAGAACCTGGACAAACTCAAAAAAGATACTTTATTTGTGATGAGTAATAATATGATTACCAGAAAAAAAAAACCGAAAATAAAAAGACCAACAGTGGGGATAGATAAATGTCTTATGTTACAATGCACAAGCAGAACAAGAGAATTAACAGAAATGAAAAAGAAGGAAATGACATAAACAACAATTGCAACTGCTACCAACTCCACCACCACAAAAGTAGTTTATGTTGTTATTTGGTCCTGCCATTGTGACTTAATAAAATTCTTTTATTTGATATATATTAACTTAACATTTCATGGTTCTATTTGCAGCCGGTGGCATCTACGATAAATACATTAGCAGGTGCTCTATACAAGGTGTTCTGTGCTTCACCTGATCAAGCAAGGAAGGAAATGCGCCAAGCATGTTTTGATTATTTAAGCCTTGGAGGTGTTTTCTCAACAGGGCCAGTGGCTTTACTTTCTGGTCTAAATCCTCGCCCATTGAGTTTGGTTTGTCATTTCTTTGCCGTGGCTCTATATGGTGTTGGTCGTTTATTACTTCCATTTCCTTCTCCAAAACGCCTCTGGGTGGGAGCTAGATTGATTTCGGTAAGTATCTTATTTATACTTCTTTGCAATAATTTCAGATTTAAGTGGTAGCCTCATGAAAACCAACACCCTGCATGTACTTGGTACCGTACTGTTGGCTTTGCAAATACACCAGCTAAAAAAATGTTGCAGCAGTATTTTACTTGCTACATCTTCCACTGCTAACAAGTCCTGTGAACTATCTCTCTGTTCATACAAGCATTAATTCTGATCATTAAGGCTTCCAGTTGAGCAAAATGCGGCCAATGTTATTGTTAGCACTTAGCAGTGGCACTGGCAATGGTTTTCTGAAGGCTGCACTGGGATTCTTGGAATCTTTTTCATATGAAGTTGTTTGTTTGCAGGGTGCATCAGGTATCATCTTCCCCATTATAAAGGCTGAAGGAGTAAGGCAGATGTTTTTCCCAGTAACTGTCCCAGCATATTACAGATCTCCTCCTGCTAATTGAGAAAAAAAAAGGGTTGAAAATTCATGATAAGACGGGTTATTATGTTATGGTTCTGTTATCCATCAAGATCAAGACAAGCTCGTTTGTGTGAGTGTGACTGCCCTTCCTTTATTCAAAGTTGAGGAGAGAAGGCTGTCAAAAGTCAAAGAGGACTAAAATGCAACAAGTTTCTTTCGTTCTTATCACGTGTACTAATTACTGGTTATCCAAACGTGTGAATAACTTTTCTTTGTGATCCGGAAGTATGTAATTGTTAGGACATGCTGGATTATCTCTGATTTAGAATATTTTCGTTTTATCCATTTATTTTTCTGTTGGAAATCAGCAACTCATCTAATTTGATTCCATATCAAGTATGGGTTCTGTTCTATGCGGCTCCGAACACTCTACTGGGCCAATGACCCAATGATACCATGCGGACTGGTGTTCGTCAAAATCCACCCGGACCCGGGTGACGTCTTTCTGGTATTGGCGGTTATTTCTTAGGATCAGTTTGGAAGGAGTGCAAATACAAGCCTTGTATTTTGTATATTTAAACCTGTATTTGCATTGTACTTATTTGTATTTGTACTCTTTCCAATCCGAGCCTTACCCACTAATTACTCAATGATATCCGCACTGGTCAGTGGAGGATATGGAGTGGTTCAATGCGCACAAAGTTGCAAAAGAAAGTGAATCCGTGCATCACCTGAAGCTCTTTAGTCTTTCCAATTGAAATAAAAAATAAAGCAAGATTTGATTGGAAAAACTTTTTGGCTGTTTGGAAAACACGGCCTGGGCTGCTCGTTATAAAAAAACTATATTTTGCTTAAGGCCCAACGGCCCAAGGTCTATGGTGGTCTGCCTTTGGCGAGGCTGCCCTGGCCTGCTTTTGGTAGGGCGTTTTGGTCTGATATGACCTTTTTGACCCATTGAGGTCTTTTTTGTTTGGCCATGGCTTGTCTTAGAGTGATCTTGGGCGTTTATTTCTTTTCTTTTCTTTTTGTGTGCGTGTGTGGATATTGAGGCACATTTGTACATTTTGTGGTTTTTTTTTTTCGCTATTCTACCATATGGCCATTATCTTGCCCTTGTTCGTCTTGATCGCACCTCGACTATCTTTGTAGTAAGGCTTCTTCTCAAAGAGCATCATCCACTGCAAGGGAATTTTCGGCAAACAACTTTTTGGTCAAATTCAATCTTGTTTCCAGTCAATCAATTCGAGGGGAAGTACTAAGAAAATGAGGAAAATTGAATTTTCGTCAAACAACTTTTTTGGCCAAATTCTATCTTGTTTCAACTTTCCAGAGTCAACATCAATTTGAGGGGAAGTAGAAAGAAATCATCAATTTTAAGAAATCACCGGTTTCTGAAAAATCAGTGAAGAGGAATCGGCATCACCGGTTCCAAACACCATCTTAATTTGATGTTTCTGTTTCGAAATTTTGTTTTATTTTCTCTTAATTTTCCTGCTCGGTTGTTTGCTATTATGGTGGAATCTAACTTTTTTGATTTCTTGGGTTCTTTGCTGACTGGAATTTGGCTTTTGGGTAATCTGCGATTCCCTATAAAGTGTATTTGACAAATTGCTAACAAATCTATAGCATCACCTTCAATCACCACTTGTGTGAGCTTGCCTTCAATCACCACTGCTCTGAGAGTGGCAGCGCCATCAACACTTATTTTGAACACATTCACATCTCACTTCAGGTGGGGGTCCAACTAATATGTAGAGCACAGGAGGGGGAGGTGGAGATCTGCTGCAGTAGATTCCTGTAAATAGATGAGAGAAATCTGGTTTTGAATCCTCGTTATGGTGTGCATGTGGGATCCGGGACTGTTTGATTGAAGATTACTTCATCTCAAACCTTCTATATGGTCCATGCCCCATGGATGGATGGCAAAAAGCATATATAACCACCACTAACATCAATACTAACTTGCAAACATATGTTTCCAATAGACGAAAGTAACTGCTTAATGTCAGAACTTTCTTCAGCTATAATGTGGTAATTGCTTAATTTGCTGCACTAGTGGGTATGCTTCATCTCTCTAGTCACTTAGTACTTACATATATAGGGAATATTGCTATAGATTTATGGCTTCTAGCTAGTTCCGATTGATGAGTAACTAGATGCATGCATTGCCATTCATAACCCTTAGCTTCGAACCTCAATCTTTTTAATGGTCATTCTAGTCATATCCACAAAATGCTGCATTTTATTGTGAATTTACCAATCAAAAAAAAAAAAGCTGTTCTATTTTAATGTGAGCCACATGAAAGCCTTCCTTCTACTCTTAGCTGAAAAGGAAAAGAGTAATCTTGAACCATTTGTTGGGAGAGGCATGGTGAATGGTGCATATTATCCTTTTTTTTTTGGGTTTGAGGGGAACTTTAGAATAGAATGATATGGCAATGGTTCTCTACTGGTGTGCTAAACAACTGTAATTGTTGACGGAACAAATTATTTACCAACAATTGGGAATGTAAGGGCCCCATTTCGTTTGCGGGAAAAGGGCTTTGGAATTAGAATTGAAATGGGCTATTTCGATTCCAACTGTTTGATTGGATGGAATCAGAATTCTATTCCTATTTTGGCCTTTATTTGAGGGAATGATCATTCTGTCCCTTTCTTAGAAATGAAATCCTATTCCTATTGATTTCAATTTCTATTCCCATTCCTGTCTGAATCAAACATATTATAGGAATGAACCATTCCAATTACAATTCTGGAGGATTTTGATTCTGATTCTAATTCTGGTTCCAACTATGGACCAAACAGACCCTAAATAACTTTTGGTTAATCATTTGGAACCTTTGAAGCTTTATATGCTCCTTTATGCCCTTTGACATATAACTTCACTGGAATACTTGTCATTGACCTTAGCTATTCTTTCACCAACCATGTAATGGCATGTAAGCTTCTGGTTGAATACTCTGCCATAAACCGTAGCCTCTAGATTTTCTTGCTTCCGCCCCCCTCCCAACCCCAAACTTCTATCGTTATTCCTTTCTCTCTTTCCTTCAATCTTTCTTTACTCTGGTTATTGCTCTTTTGATTTAATTTAACAAATTAAAAGATTGATTTTCCAACTGCTTCCTGTGCATCACCTAAGTAGGGAATTCTTGTTGCAAGGAATTTACTAATCCATTTTTAACTGATAAAACTAGATGAAGTTATTTTTCACATGCCCAGTCAATCTACCCTTCAGGTTATATATTCTCGTAATGCAACTTGAAAGGGAAAAAGGGATTTGTAGTTTTGTACCTCTTGTGGGGAAGTCATGGTAAATATATATATATAGAGAGATAGAGAGAGAGAGAAATTATATATGATTTTTTATGAACATTTTAAACTTATGAAGTTAAACTTGCTCGTTTATTATGCTGATGTACCATGGCATTATCTAAGGCAGGAAACAGTGATGAAGCTCAAGATATCTCAATTCCAAGATGTTTCTTGCAGGAGGTGGTGGTGATATTGACACAATGATAAATGGAGTCATCAAACAGAATCTCAAATTCATTCCAAAAGTTGTAGAGTGAAGCTGTGTAAATTGAAGCAAAGCAATTTGTATTTAAGATCATTCCTGTTAATTAATATTCTTCAATTTATTAATTCATTAATTTATTCTTTATTCCTTCCTTTTATTTTTGATTTTTTTTCCCTCTAATGAGATTTTTCAAAAATCAGTGATTTCTGAGATCACCTATTTCTCAGGAATCAAAGAAATTGCTTGTTTAGTACCATTGTTGTCATGCCAGTCGATTTCTCAGAAATCTATTATAAGTTTGTTTGATAGTGAATTAGTGATTTATCAGCGACGATTTTTGTGTTTATGGGAACTATCTCCCCTATTTATGTCAGATACCACATCATTAAAAAATAATCGAAATCAACCCAAAATGATGATTATCATCATTTTTGATAACTGATCTACTGATTTCTAAGAAATTGGGCCAACCAAACACTAAAATAATTCACGATTTTGAAAATTCTGATGTGGTGTATGATGAAGGGTGATTTGGCATGACTTAATAAATAAAGGTCACGTGAATGCGATCTGCCCGAAGGATGATAACTCAACAAAAGGAGTCTAGTCAGTGGTTTTTAGAGCTCGAGTATTCGGTCACTTTGGCACAAAGCCACCTCGGGATAAAGTCACCTTAGCATAGAGGCACCTCAGTACCTAATCCAGTTCAGGGCCCAAGAACCGAAGTGACACGTAATTGACTCCAGAAGCTTCCAGGCAGATTCTGAACCTCACAGGGTCATGCCGCGTAACGGCTGGCCTTATCCTCTCCCCGCCCGAATTGGGCAAAGACGATAGACTTCATTAACTGATACGTTACTCTCCAACTAAAGCGGAAACGGTTCTTATCCACTAAGGCCGAAGATCTGAGAATCGTTTCGTGAGACACACGACAACTCAGCTATATAAGGGCAACAACCCCTCCAGGGCCCAGGTACATGCGATTATTTGCTCATTAGTACACTTATCATTCAGTTTTCAACTCGCAATACTAACTTAAGCATCAGAGCGACCTCGCCAGGTTAGCCATCCTGGGTTCTCTGAGCTTCATTGTTTTGCAGACCGAACCAGCTCGCCACACAGCCAAATTCCAGGTCATCCTCTAGCTAGGAGCATCCAGATCGTGCACCATCATTTGGCGCCGTCTGTGGGAACCGATCGAAAGGTCATTGCAACCTCTATCTTACTCTCAATGGACTCCTCCAGCAACACCGAGAAAGGTGAACGTCACCGGGGGGCAAGATCAGCAATTAACTCTCCCTCAAGGTCCCATGGTGTGTATTAGTCAGTTTACCATTTCCCTCACAGCTTCGGGGGTCCCATCACTGTCTGTACCACAGATAACCCCGCAAGTGAGTGTCCCGCTCTCCCGGGTGGGCACCGCCTTCTCAGAGCCATCTGTGATTCCCCTAGGGTTGGACACTCTCAGTTCGATGACCTGATTCAATGTGTCCAGACGATGCAGATCTAGATGCAACAAGTCTAGCAGTTCCAACAATACTTCCTCTACTAGTGGCAATTTCCACCCTTACACCCAAGCCTGCATAGATCCACACAGGATGCCCGCCAATCCCCCTATCGGGGTGAGGGGACATCGTAGGTACCAGTACTTCCTAGGAACCAAACTCCACCACAAGGTAGGACGAATAGACAGTGCACTTCCCCAGTCTCTCAGAGGGGGAACCCGGGAGACAGGTCTGAAGTTAACCACCTCGACAGAGCCATCCAACCGCAACACTCGTGACTTGAGAACAATAGGTCGCGAAGAGAAGGTCATCAGCTCAGAGCCCAGGGCGCAGACTCGAGGCAAG